ACTACCTCCGTCGTCGTCGTTCGGTCGAGTACTACTATATATATATATATATATATATAGTATATATATATATATATATAGCCGTGTGCACAAGGTCAACCCATCAACAACGTTCTATATGTGTACTGTTTTTAACAATCTGTACCGAATCCATTCGAAAACTTTAAAAAGCCGAAACTGAACACAAACACAGCCACTGAAAGTTCGAAAAGTAACGAGAAAAAAAGAAGCTGAATATCTTACACTCTGAGACACAGAGCCTAGAAACAGAATAGTTATGACCATACCATCAAGACCGTTGAGATCATCGCCCGTCATGGTGCTCTGGGACACCCCGTTGTCTTGAGCTTCGTCCTCTCTAAGCATACGCCGAATCCGCGATACCTTTTGCTGTATGCCGTAAAACGAAGCCATTACTGCGTGTTTTTGTATACACAAACACAAGCTGTTTGCTGAGACACGATAGTGGAATACCTATGTGACAGAATATGTATGTAGCTATACACAAGCAACTGCGAGTACCAATGATTTTGCCGCTCTTGCCGCCTGCTGTTGCTCTGCCAGTATGCGCTCCTGCTCCGCCTCTTCTTTGATTCGTTTAGCCTCGGTCAGTAACAACTGTTGCTTCTCTTCGTGCAGGGATTTGTAGGTGTTGAAATCTATTTTTCTGCCGTCTACGTCTTCTTTCCAATGCTGGGACGTGTATATATGGGTTTTGGTGTTTTAGGGTTTAGGTTTGTGATTCGTGTGTGTATATGTATCTATGTCATTTATGCGTGTAAGTTTCTTCCAATAACAATCATTTTTGTTTGTGTGGGTATCCAGCTACTTAGCCTATGTCAAAAACCTTATCCTTCTCTTCGTGCAGGGCTTGAAGTGTGCTGTATTCTATTTTTCATGTTGCCCAACACTGTGCCGTGTATGCATGCAAGTAGATATTCAGTTGTTTTGAAGTGTGCTGTATTCTATTTTTCATGTTGCCCAACACTGTGCCGTGTATGCATGCAAGTAGATAATCAGTTGTTTTGAGAGTTAACAGATTCGTATATTCTCGTTGCAGAAGTCTCAGATGAGTAGTCATAGTCTAGTCTCATTTCGTAGAGGCTTTGGCTTCACATCGAATAGTTGTCGTAGGGGATGTGTAGGTTCTACATTTACAACGTGTTTATTCTCTTCCCAACGTTCTATATGCGGCTATGAATATATGTGATTGGAAGCCATTCGCATCAAGTACTACAACTACACAGGCTATATTTCCAGTGGGCGATTTCGTATCGAATCGAAGCACACAGTCACCTCAGGAACATTTGTGAACGATGGCACCCTACAACAGATAAACCCTTCCCCTGAACACTATACTGGCTGTTAGTGTCTGCTGGTTAGTGTGTGTCCATGTAGAGCGTACCTGTGTGTATGCAAGTACATACGCTCCAACGTCCCAATGTTTATATTTGTTTGTTTGTGCGTACGAATCACTTGCGAGGTACCGACCGACCCACCTCTATCGCTCACACAACAGAATGTGTAGTCTCAGCCTAGTATATATACAATCAGGCTATCTACAAATCAAGCGATGCATGCAAGCGTGTGCATGTGTGTTCGATTCGTATGTGTAATATTGTTAGTGTGTGTGGTGGTGGTTGGTTTATGGATGCGCATCCACACGTTTGTGTGTGGCTTTAGGGGTTAGGGTTTTAGGGTTTTAGGGTTCAATTTTTATATATAATCTTGTGTGTGTGATGGTTTTTGGATGTGTGTCCTTACGTGTGTGGGTGTGTTCATGTGGTATAATCAGGCACTGTTGTTTGGTTGCATGTGTGTGTGTGTGTGCGTGTATGTGCACACAAACATTACTTCCTTTTTTGTTACTCTGAGCAGAGCAGCGTACTACAGTTTTAATGCGCACGCACCACAAGCGCTCCTATCAGCCCTAACATACCTGTATACAGTTGTGCTGTCCAACAAAGTGAGTAAAGTCCAGCATCACGCTCAAATTATACTGCCCTGTATACGGACATCGAAAAGGTCAGCCATAGCATCAAAAAGACTGCTTGTACGAATGCTTGTCTGAGAACTCACCACAGACAACTCCGCCGATCAGAACATAATGTTGGTCTATTTAACTACCCATATGTGTATCCGGCAAGCCTTTGCAAATGACGCTGAGTACATGTTTCTAACAAATCATTCGGATTAATTGTGGCATGCGCACCTGGAGTGAAGGGCGTGAAAGTGATCTGATAAACTCCATTCTCTAGGTACCGAACTTCCGGTGTGAGAATCGCTGGGCCTCGCAGGTCAACCGTCCAAGATTGTGATCCATCTGTCACTCGATCCCCATTCTGTATGTGGCACAGTAAGACAATGATGTTAAAGTATTGAAATTCGGGGATGAGTGCAATAGTAACTTTGTATGGTATAGATATGTGTACATATTTACAACGCTACCACAACCGCAGTATTGGCGATCAATCATCAAACCTTTCTGCGGTTCTGTTTTATTTGAACAGCATACCTTATCCTTCACGACGATGTACATATTCGCTTGCTCGCAGGCCGCATACTTCCCGTTCTCCTTACTCAGTTCACTCCCAAGATCTGGGTTGGCGTAAACCACGCGTGTTTGGCTTGGATCGACCGGTGATTGTCCAATCACATCGTCGCGTGACTGTAGCACAGAATACTTGAGTGCACTTCCTTTCGCTTCCTACAAGTCAAGATGTAAAAGAATGTCAATCCATGATGACTGGGTGACGATCAAATTGAATACCAATTCGTCCCAAGTTATGTGCGTATAATTACTCTAAGGTGTTATCATGTCCCAACACCTGGTGTTTTATCAGGCTATATATATACACTACTTCATGGTGATTGTGTCATGACGTAGCCGTTGTTATCGTATAACAATCAGGAGCTCTCGGTAGGGCGGACAGTACACCAAACCACAACTATACCTATGAGTTGGCGTATACAAACCTGATTAAAAAAATGGCGTACGACCACACTCATATACCAATGTAGCGCCTGGATATAAATTTTACCCGAAATAACTACACACACGTATCGTCGTATATACATAGCATGTAACTACCACCTGCTATGTCAAGTAGCATTCCCCGACACCATACTACGAACACAACGTAATGTTCATGTGCCGGGGAATGTGCAACGGAAGCTCTGATACACATACACGTCGGTAGGTAAATACCAATGCACAACTGACTAGTACTTATCTTAGATATATAAATATATTAATTAAATGATACTTCTTGTAGTACTTGCATACCTCTTGGCGACTGGAAATGTAGGCTTTCTTGACCACCTTTTGCTGTGGCGAACGTAGTGTGTCCCACCGATCGCTCTGGCGCACTCGCATCGCCTCTTCAAAAGTCAGATCCCGGTCACTCTCCACCACTGAGCATTTCAGTGTGGATTAGTTTATTGGTTGCGTATTTGCAACCATAAAATGTGGGTAAAATCATTGATTATGTACGTATAAGAATGAGACACTCCATCCGTCATGTACGTATACACTATTATATTCGTTCAGTTTACAATATTTATGTATTCACATATGAGCGAGATTGAGGCATTACACATCACTTGAGTAGCACATGAGCGTGTGCCAATCGAAAACAAACTTCGCAGACTGAAGTTAATTGCATGTGACTAACTATGTGTTCAGAATGGTATGGCTCAGGCCGTGTATACACCTACACATGCAAACAACGCACGGTCGATCTCATCAAGTGTTTGTAACCGTGTATTTTGAATGAGAAAATTCGTACAGGACAGGGTGTCTTGAAATAGTGCATAAGAAACACAGGTCATTTCCCGCCACACTCGAAAGGTATATGATTGAATACGCTCACTATAGCACCAGGTCTTAGTACCAGGTCTTAGTACCAGGTCTTAGTGCCAGGTCTTATACCAGGCCTTAGTACCAGGTCTTAGTGCCAGAACTTAGTACCAGGTCTTATTGCCAAGTCTTAGTACGTAGCCTTAGTACCAGGTCTTAGTATCAAGTTTTATTACCAGGTCTTAGTACTAGCTAGTACCAGGTCTTAGTACCAAGTCTCAGTACCAGGTCATAGTACCGAGTATTAGTACCAGGTCTTATTGTCAGGTCTCAGTACCAGATCTCAGTACCAGGTCTCAGTACCAGGTCTTAGTACCAGGTATCAGTACCAGGTCTTAGTACCAGGTCTTAGTACCAGGTCTTAGTACCTGCTCTTAGTACCAAATTTTAGTACCATGTCTTAGTACCAGGTCTTAGTACCAGGTCTTAGTACCTGGTGTTATTGTCTGGTCTTAGTGCCAGGTCTTAGTATTAGGTCTCTGTGCCAGATCTCAGTACCACGTCTCAGTACCACGTCTTAATACCACGACCTAGTACTACGTCTTAGTATCAGGTCTTAGTACCACATCTTAGTATCAGGTCTTAGTGTTCATGTGTTACATCAAATGCTGGCCTGTGTCCTACAGAACAAACGCGAGCATGTCATGTGAATTCACAAGACCTTAGAACATATCACCTGTATCTATATCGATAGTCTTTCCTATAGACACCCTAATTTTCATCCGCTTTCGTACAGACACCTTTCGTCATACAAATTTGGCCAACAGTCTCACCTGCACAAACATCTCACCTATATCGTATACGTCCATCATTTCCTTGTAATCTGAGCCCTGGATCGTCGTTTGCGCTGTATCGTCATTTTCATCTTTATCTGAGTCGTCTACAGCCTTACCTCCAGAATCTTCCTTCTCCTTATCACCGGCATCTTTATCGTCATGTGTGTCGTCCCCATAATCGGCTCGATCCTGGCTCACAATTGTATCTTTCCCATCATTAATTGGATCCTTCCCATCTTTGTCCTGGACCTTTTCATCTCGTCCTTGCATTTCATCGTTGTCATCAGCCGTTTCATCACCTTCATCCCTGACTTTACCATCTTTCTCTTTGTCATCTTCAGCACTTTCCTCGTGGTCATCGCCACCTTCGCCAACAGACTCCTGTTTATCATCATCACTCGTTTCTGTCACTTTCAGTGTGACACTGTCCTTATCATCTGTGACATTTTCTCGATCTGCTGTGGCTTTTTGGCCATCGATAACAATTTGCCCGTCTCCTGAGGCATGTGGTGTTTGGTGCGTAGCATTTTCAATCTCAGTACTGGCATCTGCTGATTTATCTGCAACACTTTCTGCATTCAACTCTCCCTTCTCTGTCTGGCTAGAAGGAAGTTCAGTACTTCCAACTACATTGTCTGTATCGGTTTGATACTCACGTGTGTCGGATTCATCGATGTTATCTGCTTTAGTCACGAAATATGGTAGGGAGACATCAGGCATGACGTACGTATTAGTACCATTTCTTGGGTGCAACTTGTATCAAAACTAGAGTGAAAAGAATTTTCCGTCCAGGATACTTGTGTAAATTTCTTGAATTATTCGGATACAGACGCCCATACTGTGTATGTTAAATTATTTAAATTGCTGTTATTTCATTTAGGGGGCTCATACAAACTCAAACTGAATTTGTATCTCATCTGGGAGCTCGATACTACTCGTGTGTGTGTGTGTGTGTGTGTGAAAGACCCACTTCGATCTTTCAGATATTCTCTATCATGTAGGCTTCTACCATGTTCTCAACCACAATCCACGATCATCCCATCCGATTCAAGCATTAGCTCTTCAAAATATACATCAACCCCCACTGACTTGCGATGAATATTTTATCTATATATACATGAACAATAATACAAAAAGTTGCTCTTCGGTAGACCTGAGAGCATCATTCTACTTCAATTTATTCCACCACAATCTCACCTTGTACTTCAGCTGGCATGAGGAAGGTAGGTACATGGCTCTGTAACCTGGATATCACATTTCCTCCATTTGCTCTCAGCGCATTCATAGAGTTCAACTCCGACCTATTTGAGAAAAGAAGACGAGTAAACGACCTGCGTAGTGAACATAGAATGTCCTATTTATTGACGAGTGATTTGTGCAGATCTGTATGCTCATAATGTATAAATTCCTACGTTTACGAAACTTAGATCCATTTTTTCTTTCACAAGACATCGATCGTAAACCCGATCTAGAGGCTTTTATATTAACGGGAGACCAGCAACCCAAACCCCACTCGAAATGAGAATGTCTGTTAAAACGATATACCGACGAAAACAGTATATACACGAGTGCTAAAGTTTCCGCTGAAACCAATCGAATAAATTGACCAGTTGCAACTGATTCAAAAAATTGGGTTCTAAGTTTAAAATCGGCTAAGACTCAATACACGACGTGTATTGAAGAGTTTTTATGTGAGTCCGTATGTCCATCAATAAGATCGCAACAACTTCAAATTCCTCGCCTAGACTCGGAGGTCTGAGGCAAAATAAACTGGGGTTATTTCAGGTAAGGCATAAATTTACAATTACAACTTACCCACTCGAGACGCTACCGGTTTTACTGACAAAAACGATTGTCGCCACGACACTCATGGTGATAAGTATCTTTCTCAACACATTGCTGCCCAAACTGACAGCGATGGAAAAATGGTAAAATTATCAGATCAGCATACCACAAACGCTTAAAATGCAAGGGATACTGGATACTTCGTGTACCCGTCACAATGTAAAATAGTCTTGGAAAATTATCTACATATTGAGCTTTACGAACATGTTGAAGGGGTGGGATATTGCGGCCACAATACATACAACACATACTGAAGAAAGAAAAAATATACATTTAAATTTACAAACATCTATATATATATATATATATATATATGAGCGTGTGTGTGTGTCTGTAATATATATATATATATGTGGTGTGTGTGTGTGTGTGTGTGTGTGTGTGTGTGTGT